GGCTCCCAGATAATGCTCCAGGAAACAAGAGGTGGAAGGTGCTATTGAATCCTGGGCTGGAAGCTGGCTTAACATCACTTCCAACAATTTGTGTCAATCAAACAGCCACACAGCCACCCAGATTTAAGGGGTCCCCACCTCCCAATAGGAGAAGTAGCAAAGGATATGTGGCCAACTTTTTAATCTTCAATGAATAGAAGTAGTCCCGTTCCTCCAGCTGATTGCCAGGTGAGTTGCAGCTGGCTTCAACAATGGCACATATGAAACTTAGTGGCTCTGGTAAAGACATCAACAAGATCTGAAACTTGATCAAATGTCTGCCTGGCTGATGTGAGCAGCCCACAGGCCTTACTGCCAGATTTACCAATGCCGCTACCCATGCTCAAGAGTTCAGCTAGCATCTCATGAAGGAGGCAGCAAATAAGGCTCTCAATAACGCAAACCCATCCGTATTAGGGTACTCCAGGGAAACAGACCCAATAGGAGAAATAAGGGCCACATGCAGTGGCTCATGCCTGTAATCCTAGCACTTTGGGAGGCCGAGGTGAGAGGATCGCTTGAGCCCAGGAGTTAGAGACCAGCCTGGGCAATATAGTGAGACCTCATCCGTACAAAAAGTATAAAAATTACCTGGGCATGGTGGTGCGCACCTGTAGTCCTAGCTACTCAAGAGGATGAGGCTAGAGGATCGCTTGAGTGTGGGAGATCAAGGCTGCAATGAGCTAGGATTGTGCTACTGCACTGCAGCCTAGGCAACAGAGTGCGATCTTGTCTCAAAAACAAAAAAAAAGAGAGAGAGAGAGAAATCAGTAGATGATAGGATGCAGAGATAGATAAGTAGGTAGGTAGGTAGGTAGATAGATAGATAGATAGATAGATAGATAGATAGATAGATAGATAGAATGAGGAATTGGCTCACATGATTATGGAGGCTGTAAAGTCCCACAGTCTGCCATCTGCAAACTGAGACCCAGGAAAGCCAGTGATATAATTCCAGTCTGTATTCACAATCTTGTGGACTAGAGGAACCAGGGGAGCTAATGGTACAAATCTCAGTCCAAAGAGAGAAGAAGACTGATATTCCAGTTCTAGCACACAAGCAGGAAGAAACAGTAGTGAATTTCTCTTTCCTCTTTTTGTTCTGTTCAGGCCTTCAGCAGATTAGATGATGCCCACCACAGTGGTGAGGACAATCTACTGAGTCCACAATGCTAATCTCACCCAGAAACACCCTCAGAGACACACCAAGAAATGTTATTTAATCTGGGCACCCATAGTGCAACACACTCAAATTGACACATAAAATTAACCATCTAATTATATCCTAAAAATCACATCATCTAATCCATTTACATTTTTGCAGCATATAAAAAATCCATGAGATCAATTCAGGAAGCCATAAAAAGGTGATCAAAAAGAAGATGGAGTCAAGGAAGATGTCAAGCAGGAAAGAGCAGAAAGTCCTTCATGATTTAAATTCTGCACCACCACTAACGCCCCACTCATTGCCCCTTGATGAAATGACAGCAGAGATCCAATGTTGAGAGCACAGAGCACAATGAGCAGTGAGATAATAAAAGACCATTCCCACCTCCCTTACTGCATTCTGCAGCCTCATTTTTCACACTTGTTTTTTATTTTTATTTTATTTTATTTTTTTTAAAGACAGAGTCTCACTTTGTAGCCCAGGCTGGAATGCAGTGGTACGATCTTGACTCACCGCAACCTCCACCTCCCAGCCTCCAGGAAGCTGGGATTACAGGCATGCACCACCACACCTGGCTAATTTTTGTATTTTTAGTAGAGATGGGGTTTTGTCATGTTTGTCAGGCTGGTCTCGAACTCCTGACCTCAGGTGATCCATCTGCCTTGGCCTCCCAAAGTGCTGGGATCACAGGTGTGAGCCACTGCGCCCAACCACTTCCGTCTTTTAAAAAAAAGTTTTTATATAAATAAAACATACATACAGAAAAGTGCATTACTTTTAAATGTACAGCTCAAAGAACTTTCACCAACAGCATATGTATGCAACCAGTGCCTAGATTAAGGAACAGAGCATTCCCAGGATGCCAGGGGCCCCCTCCTGTGCCTTCTAGTTACTACCCTCCCCAAAGGACAACCTCTCTCCTGACTACTACCATTTTGCCTGGACTTGAGTTTTATATAAATAGAATCATACAATGTGCTCTTTTGCAGCTGGCTTCTTTCACTCGACTTTATGTCTACACATTTGCCTGTGTTATCACATGCAGTTATAGGAACATTCCTTTTCAGTGCTGAGAAGTATTCCACTGCATGCAGATGCCATAGTTTTCCTCCGCTTTCTCCTGCTGAAGGCTGTTTGGGTCATTCCCACTTTAGGCAGTGTGGGCTCCAGTGCTTCTCTGTTGGGAGCAGCTCTGCTCCTCCTGTCCCTCAATGAGTGCCACTCACTGAGGACACTATGGAGAGTGTGACTGGGCACCACACAGTGCCCCCCACTCAGGGGCTCCAGGTCCCCTTTGGCTCAAAGACGAAGCAAGACAGAGCTTTCTGTCTGACTCCACAAACCTTTCTGCCATTTCTGCCACCTCCCCAGGACTCAGCCCAGGGACCTCTTTCTCTAATACCCACAAATATGCGCATCGTTATTATGACCCATCTGCCCCACCAGCCCAAGGGAACCCCTTTCTGTTAGAAGGTGAGGGATGGTTGCTCTTAGTCTCCATTTCTGCTAAATACCTGGCCTATGTCATAAATCCTTTCAGTTCCCACGAGGTCTCATGTTTGAAATTTAGGAGGCAGAAGATGCTGCCTGGCTCTGCTTTCTGCTGACCGCCAACCCTCCTACCCCAACTGCTAGAAGGGCTGTGGAGTGGGAGGGGAGGAGGGAGAGATACAGATGAAATAAATCAGAAGGTTTTTTTTTTTCTAGAGATGAGGTCTCACTCTGTCGCCCAGGTTGGAGTACAGTGGCAAAATCATAGCTCACTGCAGCCTGGAACTCCTGGGCTCAAGTGATCCTCCTGCCTCAGCCTCCCAAGTACCTACGATTACATGTGTGAGCCACCGCACCTGGCCAGAGAATATTTCCAAATGTTTTCCCTTCACAGTTACAATGGAAAGGATTTGGACCAACCCACTTCTGCCATCTTTCTTGGGCAATGGACACTGATGGTTACGGATGCCCTTAACTTGTTCCCAGTGGGGGCTTCTCATACTCTTAACAAACACACAGACAGGCATCCAGCTCCGCAGTGTCTCAGTCTGTGTCATTGGTTTGTCTGGGGCTCCAAATGTCCCGCTTCTTCTGGGCATCCATTATCTTTTTGCAATAGAGTGCAAAGCCCCCTCAGCTCAGTGGTCTTCCCTCAGAGCCTGGAAGCCCCTTCATTAGGGTGGCTGGATACTTTCTTGAGATATTAACATGTGGTTTTTGTTCTTCCTGTTTTGTCACTGTTCCTACCCCATTCCAGGAAGCGTTTGCACATCCTGGCCCCAGAGCATTTTGCGTAGCCTCACCAAGAGAAGAAGTTGGAAAGAGAAAAGGAGAAAAGAAAAAAAGGAGAGAAGAAGTTGGCAGAGGAGATCTCCCCAGCACCTGGGTTCTTTGCCAGGGGAGAGAGGTGAGCACACTGGAGTGAAGGAGGCAAAAGCTGCCCAAGGGAGTAGCAGGGGAGATTCCCAGATGCTGCGGAAGGGATGTGGTTTGGGGGTCCTTGGAGTAGTGAGAAGCAGCCCTGCTCCCACACAGAACCCCACACACACAGCAGTTGGGATGGGGGGAGGTCAAGGATTCCAAAGGAAAGTAGCTAAGAACCTTGGCCTTGCTAACCACAAAGAAAGACTCCCATTCATATCAGCTGTGTCTGAAGGTCAGCGGGCCAGACTCTGAATGTTCTAGGCTGGGCCAGACCCCTGGGATAGTCACTGGACCCCATAGGAGAAGAGATAGGGGAGTCCCTAATAAAACTTCAATTACATTTCCTGCCTGCTTGGTCAGTGGATACTAAATACAGATGACTTAGAAAAAGAAAGAATTGTGAGATGCTGTGGAGTCAACTGAATGCCATCATTAGCATCCTCCTCTTCAGAGTCCTGTATCCCGGCGACGGAGCTCAAGGTTCAGTCTAAAGCTTCCCTACCCCCGGCGAGGAGGTCTTTATAGTGGAGGTGAAAGTTTACACACCACATTCTGAGAATTTTTTTTTAAAGTAGCCTCTATTTTGTATGATTTCTCATCCTGTTAGAGTAAGTAGCTAGTCAGGGATGAACAGGGCAGGAGCAGGCACCCCAGACACCCACAGGAATGTCAGGCAAACATCAGGTGAGGGTCAGGCGGTTGTTAATGGTCTCTCTAAAATAACTGGTCACAGCTGGCACCAGAGACAGGCAGTCTTCCAATAGAAAACACCTGAAACTAGTGATCAGCAGTTTCCCGATAAGATCCCAATAAGTGACCAAAGAGGCAAGAATTGAGGTTACTGCAGACCCCTACGGATTTGCTGCCGCTAACAATCCCTACTACTGCTGGGGAGGAGGTTCTAATAGTGTCTATTAATTAAAGATATCTCAGTCTCTTTTCTATCCTCCCTCCCCAGATACTGCTCAGTCCACCTCATGAGATTGTCCGGGGGCTTTCGAGACCCAGGCAATGGGAAGAGAAGGCCGTGGAGGTGGACTGAGAGTGCTGGGTGACTAGATTAACTATGCTGCCCTCCACAAGGCACCTCTAGTAGGATGCACAGCTGTGGCTATCAGCAACTTCCCCTTCCTCCTCTTGCAGGTGCCCTGGAGAACATGGATAGGGCTGCAGGTGGTTAATGGTTCGAAGACTACTCAGTGAAGACACTGCCTGGGGGAGCAGAGTGTGGCCACATCTAAGGAAAGAGGGTACAGGTGAGCAGGAGAGGAAGTGAAGGAGAAGGGAGCAGGTGAGGGTTGCAGAGGGGCTGAGGAGGGTCAGGCAGAGCCAGGGTACCAATCCAGCTCCTTGGAAGGTAGCTCAGTTGACTCCTTACCATGTGGCGTTTGTATAAGGTGGACAGCAGAGGCCTGGGGCCAGAGAGAGGCTGGACCAGACCTCCACTGTAAAGATCTCCTTGCCAAGGTCCGGGTAGGATGTCCTTAAGTCTGAATCTTGATCCCCATCGCTGGGATACAGGACTCTGGAAGAGGAAGATGCTAAATGACTGCATTTGGGGAGGGAAAGACACACTCACTTGTCCCCAGCCCCGAGTTGCCCTGTGTTGCTGCCACAGTACGTAACTACAGTCATAAACTATATTTGAAACATGATGGAACCTGAACCATGGCAGTAGCTTCAGTTGACTACATTAACTGGGAAAGTTGATTCATGATTCTATACTGTAATCATATAAAAATTAAATCAGACGTGCGCGCTCACATGCACACAAATATTCTGGAAAGCTGAGATCCACAGCTCCAAGATGGGGAAAGGGCTCCCCCTGGTGGGATTGCCAAAGGTTCCCCCATGGAACCGCAAGCCCCAGACCAAGCCAAAGCCCAAGCAAAACAATTTGCTATGTCATGCAGGATTGGAAGACTTTCGTTTGCTTCAGGGCCAATTTATGACTCCTGGCATTCTCTGTCCTGAAATGACACCCAGTTCCAGGAAGAACTGGATTCTAGGACCAACTTGAGGCGCCCCAGGAGACAGTCTGGGCATGCCGGTCAGCCGATGTGTGCGGGGGAAGACTGTCCACATTTGCTCCTCAGTCCCACTTGGCCCAATCACAGGCCACCACCCACAGCAAAGGGGAGCCAGGGCCCCTGGGCAAGGGTAGATGCTGCCTCTCATGCCCCTGAATTAGCCAAGACGCACTCCAGCAGGAAACCTTGTTCTGCTTATATTGCAAAGGAGGCACCACTTCCTATGTAGTCCCTGACCAGAGCACCTTGCCTGTGCGGCTGAGAAATGTCAAATGCAGCAGGAGAGGGAGATCAGCCACAGCCAAGAGTGCGCCCTGCCACCGTCTGTTGACCCAGGTCAGAATGGTGTGGAACACTGGACAGTTTACTCACTGGGTTCTAAAAACACAGCAACACAATGCTCTGGGTGCCTCCTGGCTGTGATGTGCACCATTGTTTTCTGGGGAGATCCCATCATATATGAAACTTCAGATGTTCATCCAGGGATCATGTCAAGCTTCCATTGTTTGCTCTCATATGCTCCCTGGAGCTGGATTCCACCCTGGCTCAAGACCTTTGATGAAGTGCTGGCATGGAGCAGAAACTCCCTTAAGCAGCAACCCCTTTTCTCCCTTGCCACCCACCCCCACCAGCACCCCATTCTAGGGATGCCACCCCAGGGCTCCTCTCATGCGTCCCCAGGTTGGGGGAGGGGCAGCACTACTTCCTCAATTCTCAACTTCAGGTTACTGCTACAGAGCCTCACACCTGATCCAGCCTTGAGAAAGCGATTAGAATATGACTGGAAAACATTGTTAGTGATCCCCAAATGTGTAGTATAAAGATACAGTAAATGCTTCTACAAAAATAGACACGAGTGAAACAGGCTAGTCCAGGGGCTTTCAATACAGAGCGATGATAGATATAATATTAGAGAAAATTAAAAAGCAGTGCTCCACAAAGGGAGAATATCCCCAAAGATATCCCCAGAAACTGAATATAAATGCAAAAGATGAACAGGGCTACAGCTGTGGCCTGATGGGTTCTGACTTTGGGTACAGTCAAGGGCAGCTGGGAGGTCAAGTCCTGTTGAGTACTGAGTGATGAGATAGAATTAAATTGCCCACTGAGGTAGGGAACCAGTGTCATGGTCACTGTGAAAATATTAGGGACTGGGATTCCCCTCTTGCCCACACTTCCACCCTCTTTAAGAAGACTGAAATAGCTTGCTACTAACTTCGCCTGGGACTGTGGCCTAGGGAGGCCCAAGGTTAACAAACGGCACCACACCTGGGCTTCACTGAGCCTCCCACAGCCATGGGGCTGGATGTGAGTCATCCCCAGGGTTATTCCAGGGCGGGAGCCCCGACTGCCATATAAGACCTAGTCCTAAACACCCGCCCTTGGGAAGGGCAACTGCACAGCCACTAGGCAGGGAGGAGTGAGGAACAAGAGAAGGGAGAGAGAAAAAACCTGGAAATGAACCTGGAAGCTGAAATCCCAAAACACAGAAAAACTAACACTGAGAAAGGCAGCCAGCAACATCAATACTAGAGAGAGATGCATGCCAGGTGAAGTGAAAAGAATATAATCATTGGAAAGAGACTTCAGTATCCTCAAAGAGGCAGTTAAACATATAATGTTCACTTAGAAATCAAGCCACTGTGAGGTTAAAACCAGGCAGAAACATGCTGTCATGTAACAATGGAACAGAAAAATATTAGGTAATAAATGGTTTGGGAGAAATAATTATTAATATTTGGGAAAATACATATAGTAGATGTAAATCCTCACTTCATCTAACATACCCTGAGCAAATCTAAATATTTTTCAATCTCTGAGAAGGGTAGGATGTTCTAAATTAGCTGAGAGAAGCCAGGTGTGTTGGTGGTGTAATCCCAGCTACTTGAGAGGCTGAGGCAGGAAGATCGCTTGTGCCCAGAAATTCGAGACCTGCCTGGGAAACACAGCGAGACTCCCAATCTCTTAAAGAAAAATAAAACTAGATTTTAAGATAAATATCATACAAGAAATATGAATGTAATAAGTAAAATGCGGGAAAAAAGTAAAAAAACAAATTAACTGAAACAATAGGCCAACAAAAGAAAGGAATATATGCAAATATTTAACTACAAAAAGTTTAAAAAAATTTTTTTTTTCTTTTCAGACAAAGTCTCACTCTGTCACCCAGGCTGGTGTGCAATGGCATGATCTTGGCTCACTGCAGCCTCCACCTCCCAGATTCAAGCAATTCTCCTGTCTCAGCCCCTCGAGTACCTGAGTACCTGAAACTACAGGCACAGGCCACCATGTCCAGCTAATTTTTTGTGTTTTTAGTAGAGACAGGGTTTCACCATGTTGGCCAAGCTGGTCTTGAACTCCTGACCTCAAGTGATCCACCCTCCTCCGCCTCCGAAAGTGCTGGGATTACAGGTGTGAGTCACCACGCCTGGCTAATCTTTATATTTAATAGAAAAAATGGAACACAAATAAATAAGGAAAATGTTGGCAACAGGCTCTGAAAAGGTTGGCAACAGCCTTTCTGGGTATGACTTTGGGCAAGTTACTTGACCTCTCCATGCTTCTATTTCCTCCATCGTAGGAGACTGATTATTGTACCGTAGGGCAGGATTAACTGAATTATTCCATTTAAAGCTCTTAGAACAGTAACTAGCACCTAGAAAGTACCCCACAGCTGTTTGTATTTTATATTGTACTGTTTGAGAAATTCAGACACAGACAATTTATAACAGAAACACCATAACTAATTAACAATTATCAACGAACAATTCAACTTCATTAATTATGAAAACAAATCTAAAATTATTTTTGCCTTTCTAGTTGATAAAGACTGTTAAAATAACAATAGAGTAGGCCGGGCGCGGTGGCTCACGCCTGTAATCCCAGCACTTTGGGAGGCCGAGGCGGGTGGATCACAAGGTCAGGAGATCGAGACCACGGTGAAAACCCGTCTCTACTAAAAAATATACAAAAAAGTCTCTACTAAAAAAAATACAAAAAATTAGCCGGGCGTGGTGGCGGGTGCCTATAGTCCCAGCTACTCAGGAGACTGAGGCAGGAGAATGGCTGGAACCGGGGAGGCGGAGCTTGCAGTGAGCCGAGATTGCGCCACTGCACTCCAGCCTGGGCGACAGAGGGAGACTCCGCCTCAAAAAATAAAAAATAAAAAAATAAAAAATAAAAAAAATAACAATAGAGTATTCCTGCCCTAACCCTGGGGTCCTGCTCCTAAAAGCCTCCTTGGATGAAAACATTGTGATTAAGAAACTCAGGACTTTATGAAAAATTAGGGATAGGGGAGACTAAAATATTTAGAAAACCCAGGTTTTTAAAAACTTTTGGTTTTTTATGTTTTAAAACTATTCCCTGCCAGGCACGGTGGCTCACACCTGTAATCCCAGCACTCTGGGAGGCCGAGGCAGGCAGATCACTTGATATCAGGAGTTCAAGACCAGCCTGGCCAACATGGCAAAACCCCGTCTCTACTAAAAATACAAAAATTAGCCAGGCATGGTGTCAGGTGCCTGTAATCCCAGCTACTTGGGAGGCTGAGGCAGGAGAATCGCTTGAACCTAGGAGGCAAAGGTTGCAGTGAGGCGAGATGGCACCATTGCACTCCAGCCTGGGTGACAAAGCGAGACTCCATCTCAAAAAAAAAAAAAAAAAAGCTATTCCCTATTTTTACTAAAATACACTCATAAAGAGACTATCAGTTTTATAAAACTTAGATTGGTAACTGCTTACTGAACAATTACTTCCACTAATCTTTCCTTACTAGAGCGTAGCCTTCTAAAATCTCTCCCCTGCGGTTTCAGTGAGAGGTCTGCAAATCAGTTAAGTGGGTCTATGAGGAAGAACTGTGGTATTTGTTTGCCTAGGGTTCCTCACCCAAACACTGCGAGCCTTTTCAGTTATCAGCGGTTGTATGTAATGTGCAATTATAAAACAGAGAAAGAGAAAGTGGTCCAAGCAGAACGTGCTATGGAAGGTTGCACCAGGAAGAGATGGTGTCACTGTCTGAAATGAGCCAGTGGTCCCAGCCCAGGGATTCTGGTTCACTGGATCTGGGGATGGGCCAGGCACATGCCACTTGGAAGGCTCTGCGGGTAGTTCTAATGTGCACCCTGTCATGAATCTGCGGAAGAGGGTCAGATCAGGGAAGGGAGACTTGACTTCTACTCTTGCTCTTCCAGCAACGTGCAGCTTTACCATAAATGAAGGTTTCCATTTCCTGGGTTTGAATTTCCTCCTTTCACTGTAAAATGGGAGAGTTGGACTAAAGTGAATCCTCGTTATATGACAAGGCAGCACAATATGAGAGAAAGCACACAGGCCTTAGGTTCAGGCCACTAGAGCTGGTGTTCTCTCCAGAGTCATTCTTCCTCTCCTTCACCTTATAGCCACCCTTCCCACCCTGAAATTCATCTCCCATCTGTCCCCGCTCAGTCCCTTAACCACTGTCTTCTTCTTCTTTTTTTTTTTTTTTTTTTTTGAGACAGAGTCTTGCACTGTTACCCAGCCTGGAGTGTAATGGTGCCATCTCGGTTCACGGCAACCTCCGCCTCCCGGGTTCAAGTGATTCTCCTGCCTCAGCCTCACAAGTAGCTGGGATTACAGGCACCCACCACCACACCCAGCTAATTTGTCCTTTTTTTTTTTTTTTTAATCAAGCAATCCCCTGAAACTCAATAGGCTCAGAGAGACTCCCGCCACT